TGAGGCAACTACAGCTGTACAACTATTCTGCCTATTCTGTGACTTTTTAATATTTGTTTTGTTTAATCTTTCTGCAGGTTTACATACCATTTACAATACAGAACTGGAATGGAGACAAAACAAAGGCTAACTGGAGAGAAATCAATCTAATAATTGTTGCAACATGTGTTTTGGAAAATTGTCAGCATAAATGTAAAGTAATACACAAAACACATGCACAACTACCAGTATTTATTTATCATCTTGTGATTAAACAATTAACAATTAAAAAAAGATTAAAAGCTTGCATAGCTATTTGAATAGACAGAGAGAGAAAAAAAAACAATAAATAAATCCCTGGATAAGTCCAAGATCCAGGACTACTCATACACAACCAAGTTAAAGTATACGTTTGGACAATGCTACCTGTATGTGCAAATGAAAAGTACTTGAAGGTATGTGAACAGTGTGTAGCTGTATATTAACTGACCACTAGGTGTCCCCCAGATAATTTTTTTTTTTTTTTTTTTAAATGTACGATATTGTGCAGTATATAAAGTCCACATTACAAATTAAAATCCCACATTGTCAAGGCTGGTTATGCAGAGCATCAGGGATAGGACCCAAATGCAGACAAAGGAGGCAGTGGGATGTCTTGACTGAAGCTATAACTTGCAGGCAGGTACATATAGCAAGGCAGGCAGGTGTACAGATTCAGGTAACAGATACTCGAACACAAAAGCACAAAACCAGAAACCAACAAAACAACTAGGATGAACAGACAGATGAGTGGGAATGGGCCAACTAAGCATCTGCAGGGCTGATGAAGAAATTAGATACAGCTGAGGAGGTGGGCAGGGATGGCCAGGCAACTGCAGAGCAGATTAGGGAATAACCTCGACCACATCCCTCATGTGTCGTTTGCTTTGGCTAAAAATCACTTTTTGTACTTTAAACTTGGCAATTATTTGTTGTTACTAAGGTGATTTTGCAACCATCTAATGTTAAAAATATCCAGGTGCCCATTCCAGGCACCAAATTTGAAATCAAATGGCACACACTGCACTTTATCTGAATTCTCCAGTTTTAGACTGGCAAATATTTAGAATAATCTCTTTATTGAACATCTGTTTCCATCCCACATATCTGTCTAAAAAACAGTGAGCTTTTCCTCTATTCAGCAGTTCCCCTGCCATACTCATCAGCTTATTAGACATTGAGCTCATACATGCTGATGTGCAATATATTATGTATTTATTTGGTTTATTTGCAGTCTGTCAAAAGTACCCCTGCTGTTAAGACAATTATATTTTAGGCATGTAGCCAAAGCTACATGACATGTAATGAATGCCAATACAAAAACCTTCAGTTCTTTCAGCAGCCAATTAAGTGAATGGGGCAAACTCATTATTGTATGTTTATTATATAATTATAAAGATGCACAAAGGAGAAAATAAATAAACATGAAAAATGTTTCCAGCCCTCTGGCCATAAATGGTCTCTCTCCAAAAAACACACAGATGCCTGCAGGTGCTCACACACTCACACTCTGTCACTGATACTTTACAATTTTTTCTGAGCAAACCCGCATTTGCATGACGGTGCTGCTGACATAATGAGTGGAAGATAAGCAGGGAAGCAGACGCGGGACCTGGCAACCTGCTGCATCGTAATTATTTGATTATTTGCTTAGAGATGCTGGAGGAGTGTTTTGAGGACACATTGGGAGTAGGGAGTGACAGGAGTGGAAGCAGAAAGAGAAAGTGTGGAGGGAGGTTTGACTAGGGGATGAGTCACACCTGCTTTTTTCTAAAGAGAGGAAATCAGTTTTGTTTCCTGCATTGGTGACTTTAGGAGAGAGTTAATGGAACATGGCAAGCTTCCAAGTAAAGGCGCTGCCCACGCTCTTATTACCGGTGACTGGGATGTCGAGTGTTGCTGTTATTTAAAAACCCCTGGACTGAAGAGAGTCAAGGGACACAAATGAGAAACAGTAAGAAACAGCGTGTTGATTTAAAATAGAACAGGAGTATATGAAAGACACAGAAAGATGGTGGTAAGACAAAACATGGAAGGTGTAATACAAATCATCGCTGTGGTTATGCACAAGAAGGAATAGGATGCAGGCAGGCTCCAGATGCCTGAAACAACAGCAGCTGGTATTCTCAGTGCTCACATGTCACTGGATTGTTAATTAGGCAGGACACACAGTATTGGCTCCACAAGGATCAAATAACTTTTCCAGTAAGTTCCTCAGACCAGATCAGCCACCACAAGATCAACATGAAGTTTTCACTCTCTTTTTCCTCGCAACAATCTTGACAACCCTTCCCAATTGTCTCTCTTTTCACTCTTTGGCAGCTTTATTATTTTGGGGATGATATTCACTGCGCTGAGTCATATATATTATCTGCTGCAACAAACCACCTTCATCTGCCTCACATTCACTGTTATAGAAAGCTACAATATCACATTATCTCATTTTTAAGGTTTAGGTTTTAATGTTGTGTACACTATGTGGCTGTGATGTTCCTCTTTCAAATCCTGAACTTTTATTGGAATATATACAGTCAGTTCACAGTTTATCAGATACAAATGCAGTCTAATACAACAGTCCTGCAATAAATCCTCCCTTCATGAAGGGTATTGATGATAATGATACAGTTATTTAATTGTAATATTATTGTGGATAATATAGTTTGTGGTGCTGCTGAACTGTGTTTTACAGATAGTTGTTTTTTATTTGGCCTACCCTCAATGGTATAAATGGGGTGGACAAAATAAAACACTAATTTTAGTATATAATACTGAAATGTACATAACATGCATGTTACATTTCATCAAGGTATCTTATAATCATATAAAATGAAAGATAAATAACATACAGTATAAAGAAAAGTAAATAGTCCCATATGCAGCCAACATCACATTAGAACATTATTTACGAACATAAACACGAAGGGAACAAAGAGAGAACAGACAAAAGCACAAAATGACAAAAAAAATTAAACAAAAACTAATCCAACTTTAATCTGGATGTTTTTAGACATTTCTTTCTAGATGAGGCTTCCAATTTTAATAATAACTTTCACATTTCAATATCCATCAGGTTGCAAGGAATCACTCTTGTTGAGTTGTGTGGTAATATTTCCCCTGTGTTTACTTTAACTATGGATGTGCAAAATGTCAGCAGGCATTAACAAAGGCATATTAAAGAAAGGACGTGATGACAAATTATTGGCAACACATATAAGAACAACAAAAGTGAAATCTTTGTGGAAAGTTAAATATTAAATTGATCTCACTGAGCCACATATCATCCCATGTGCTGCATGAGCAGGTAATAAATGTATAATAAGATACCTGGTTATTGTGAACAAGTATGCATGTTCAGTTTCTGGTTACTCTATCATTTTTTGCTGTATCCATGGCAACAGCAGTTAGGTGTGAAGGCCTACTTCCCATTTGCCCTTTTTATTAAGTCACTCTTCTGACCCCTTGCAAAGTCACAGACGTACTGAGCACTTCAGTCAGTGTCATATTACATAAAACCACAGTCTGAGGGCTGAGTTTACAAATATGAACTCTGCAAGTGTATTCTTGGGTAATTCAGCAGACTTAGCGGATGTTTTTTGACATGCAGCTTCCTCCCATTGAATCCAGTTAGAAAAGAACCCATTAAAACACCCTGCTGCTACTGGAGAGTGTCTGTCAAATTCAACATTAAAGATAACTGAGCTGCAAATTCACTTCTAAAAAATGTAAAACAAAGGAACTGCTTAATTTGTTTTCTTTTTCTGTTCAGGCAGAAACTCACATCGGCTACTTTGATAATAACCCCCAAATGTGACAATTAACAGCTTTTTAATTGAAAACTGAGAACACATCAGCAAAGGTTTTAAAGGCGTGAAAATACACATATAACCTCCGAAATATAGAAAAAGAAAAGTTCAGAAGGAAAAAGTTGAAGAAAAATTTCAAGGAAAAGTAATTTAAGAAAAATTTTAGTACATTTGTGATAAACACTTATTTGTTTTCATGGTGAAAGGTAGATGAGAAAATGGATACCTATCTCATATCTGTCCGTTAAATATGAAGCTAGTGGTGATTAGCTTAGCTTAGCATAAAGACAGGAAACAGCTAGCCCGATTTTTTCCAAAGTTACAAAAATACACCTGGTACAGTGTCTACCACATATACCACAGTAGCCTGAATTCGAATCCGGCCCCAGGCCCCATAAAGTTCCCCCTCCCCAACAAAAACATAAATAATAAAAACGTCTAACATTGTTCACCAATAATATGTTCTCCAAACAGAAATGTAAAAACTACAAGTTTGGACAAGGAGCCAGGCCATGGATGTATTATAAGTACTGTATATTGGACTGCTTGCTGAGCGCAAAAGCCAAAAATGTTGTCTGGCTTCTGAATTTATTTCCATGTTGTGTGGATACGTGGAACGTTCTCCACTTGGTACTAGCTACTAGGGTGTGCCATGCTACCAGGGTGCCCCAGCTTTTGAAAAATGTTTAAATCTCCATGGATTAAAAGTTAACAACACAAAGAGTAATTGACCTTGTTTACAGTTTCAGTGTCTCTTATCATGGAGGTCATGGAGTAAGAGAAAATGCTTCTGGGGAGAGGTCACTGGGACAAATTATCAGCAAGACCGACCATCAAGCTCTCTCAATACATCCAGTTTTGTAATCACTGTGAGGTTGCCAGGCAACCAGTGGCAACTTGATGTGTTAATTAGTAAACTAAGAGGTGTTTGTATGAGTGTATTTTTGAACTATGGAGAGCTAAGCTATTTGCTTCCTGGGTCTAGCTTCATATTATGGGTCAGCTATGAGAGTGATATTGATCTTACTGTTGGCAGTTTATTAGATCACATTTTTCACTTTTATAACTCTTTTGTCATCTCCCAAGAAACAGAAACATGTGTAATGAAACTGAAATTTGAGATAATATTTAATTTATTACATTTGCAGCTTTAACTGAGAACATTTAAGAACCCTGTATCCTGAACATTATAAAAAAGCAGGTTCCTTGTCTTCCCCCTGCAGTTTACAACACATGCAGCCTTGCATTACAATCCAGTGGAGTTTATTACATAGCACAACCAAAATTAAACAAGAAGTGAGAGTGTACCATCAAGTCACAGTAACCATAGTAACAACAGCTACTGTACCTCCCATTATCACCCTTGTTCCTAGCACAGGTACCGTACATATACTGAAACATACACTCACACATTTTCTTTCTCATTCATTTTTCACACGCATAAACAAACAAATAAATACTGTCCCCATTTTTACACAGTGCTTTGCAGAAGGTGTTCAGGATGACACTGTTTGAATGACAGTCCTGCCCTTTCCACGTAACATTCACTGAGAGCTGCCCTTGTGGGAACTCACAGTGTTTTCACTAAGGATGAGTCACACTGAAAGATTAGACCCCCCTCAACTCCGTGCCCTCCCACTCGCCTTCTCTCTTTTTCTTCATCTCCCCTGCTTTCGGCCACTTCAAACTCTCTTCTTATATAATTTTCTCTCTCTGATTTTCTCTCCTGCAACACTGTGTCTATCCTAAGAGGCTACATGGTCGCTTCCTTGTCTATAAGAATCTTCCTCAGAAATTCTGAGTTAGGGCATGTAACACACCCTCCAGCTGGTGTGAACAGCTGGTTTTTATGTCTAAATGTGAAAATTGAAGTGTACCCATGTAAAAATTATTAATCAGATGAAGGTGTTTGTTTATATATATATATATATATATATATATACACACATAATTGTATTTATAATTGTACTTGTAAATTAGGACCTGTACATCAAACCATTAGTTTTTTATTTTTCAAAACTTCAAAACAAAAACAAATATAGTATAGATCTGTTATGGTCATAATACTTAACATTTTGAAACTAATTTCCTCACTTAACCTTTCTCAAATATTACTGTCACACACCCATCTAACACAAAAAAATACAATATCTGTTTTTGTCTCATGGCTGTTACAGAATTTCAGCATTACTGGCACACATCTAAATTCCCCTGTGTTGTCTGTGACAGCACCGGACATGGTTGCTGGGTGATTTGTGACCCAAAGCCTCCATGACAGTGTTGAGACTGAATATCAAAGGATCCAGTGACTGAACAAAAGAGACAGCTGTATCCATCCTAAGCAATAGTTGGGGGAAAAAAACATAAAAGAGAACACTGTGTCAAACGGGGGTGAGAAATAAACTGGGAGATTGACTGTGAAATGTATCATCTGTAATAATTAAAACTATTTTAATTCAGTTAGCATCTACTGTAACATCTGTGTATGTCAAATGTCAAATGTCTACTTTCCAGTCAAGTACAGCTGCCTTATGTTTACCTAATCTTACTTTATTTAAAAGGGTGTGAAAGGGATTCAGACGCAATTCTAAATAGTATCTATATGTTATTCCAGTGTGAATCCAAAATATGACAATTCACACAATTTCAGTAGCAATACTATTCTGTCTCCTGCTTACCTTTCATGAGGTAACCATGATAAAACTCGAGTATCTATGAAAATCTCATCTCCGATCCATCTAACCTTCCTAGTTGTCTCATTGTAAAGATATGGGGTATACAAGGTTGCTATGGCGACTATTTCTCTTGGCAACACAGAGATCCGCTCCGTAGTTTGATTGGCCATCCCTGTGCTTAATGTAAAGCACATGGATACACATTTTATAGGTACATATTCAGGCTGTAATAACTGATCAAATATAGGGTGGAAATAAATATATCATCTTTACTCATAGTGGAAGTGGGCTGAAGTGTTCTGGCCATAGACAGGAGATTAATATAAAACATAAAGTAGGCCTATACCACTCAGAATGCTGTCAAGTGTGCCTCAATGATGCATACAATGACTGCTTTTATCACTGGAGTGGCATATATATATATGTATTAGGTCTAGTGGTCTGCAGTGTCAGTTATGTGCCGATCCATCCGATCCATAACATTTAAAGAAATGAGTATGGATGATACAAAACTGAGTGCAACAGACTAAGAATGATTCATTCTTTCACTTTCAAGTGTGCTCATGTGCATACATTAGGATATGAACACCCATACATGGCTTAATACTGTATGTGTCCCCACATAACACTGTAATAACTATCGTTCCTGTACTTATGTACAGTATCTGTTGAATATTCATCAGAAATATATCATAAAATAATGAAGCAGGGTGAGTCTGCTTAGTCTTGTCAAAAAGTAAAACACTATCACTAGTGTGGATTAGCAAAAAGAAAATGAAAAACTTAAAATGTGTATTGTGTGATGTTCTTCAATGTTTCTTTGCAAATGAAACAAAAACACCAATCCACAGAGCACAATGTGGATGTTTTGCATTGTCACTGAAGGAAAAATACTGGAATTTATTAAAAAGTAGACATTAGTCAAGACTAGTTAACTGTTATTTAAGGAATATAGAGCGTGATGAGACATCCGTTCTTTCTTCACAAACCACCACTTTTCAAAAGGTCATAGCAATTTGGATCTGGTGTCAAATCACAGGCAACTTCAACCTAACAGAGCTCTCAATTAATGTCAGTTTCATAAGTGTTATCTGCTTAATGGTGATTATAAAGTTCCAGCAGTGTGTCTAGACTGGCCTGTTGACACCTGCAAAACAGATATTTTTTTTAATGAGGCGATGACAGTTCTAATCTCTAACTCTAAAATATAAAACTTGTGGGCGTTTCAACCCAATTAGTGTGTACACTATACATGCCTGACTTGTGCTATGCTGCTTCTGCCCTGTCTGCCTGAAAGAAAGATATAAATACAGCATGTTGGGTTGTACCTTTTGGAAACTGTTAATCAGAAGAAGCTGGCTGAGCAGTGAAATGAAAACAGGAATGGGATGAGAGACGGAGATGTGGAGAGCACAATATGAAAACTAAATAAGATATGAAATCCAATGACAGAGACAGAACAGATCCAATACAAGACAAACTTGGGGCTTGGCATGAAAAACACACTACACGATCTTTGCAACATCCTTTGCTCTCCCTCTGGATAATTTTCAACTTCAACGTCTGTAGTGCTCCATCCATGCTTCAAAGTCTTTCTCGGACTGAAAAGCTGAAACTGGAAATACTGACTGCTGTGGAATGGCCATTTTGGTTTATGGCCCCTGTGTCAGCCCTGGAGTGGGGCCCACCATTTTTGTCTCCAGGCTACATGATGGAGCATGTGAAGCCGCAGCACTCCTTCAACAGGGTGAGGCCTGTCTTGGTGAAGGGGGAAGAGGTCTGCTGAGCCCTGGATGGTGTCCTTCTGGTTGGTACACCTGAAGCACAGAATAACATCACATTGTGAGGAAAAGATTAAATATTCTGAAATGTTGTAAATGTATTTTATTCTGTGTTACAAGACACAACTTCATCTATTTCATCTAAAGTTCAGATGATTAATGAGTTGACAGGTCTAAAGCATAGCCTCAGTAGTCCCATTTCTATTTTATGGTGAATCAGTCAGTGAATGTGTAAAGCTTCATCCTTCAATAGCCCTCAGAAGGAAAAAACCTTGAATAAGAAAAAAATTAGGAACCGGGAAAATATTTGCCACTGCTTATTTCCTCCTCAATTCCTAAAACATCGGTATTACGCGTTGATTCTTTGATGAAGCACAACATTGCAGCTCTTTCATAAATACCTGTCTTCTTCATCTTTCTCGGGAATTTGGACTTCAGAAAATCTGCCATTTCTTTATCTTCTTCGTTCTCCCTATAGAAATTGAGAAAGATGGATTTAATATACCTGAAAAGACATAAATACATAAAGCACTTGGGCTACAATTACATTTTTCATTGCCTTCATATCACAAAAGAAAAGTTAGATATGGTGTCTACACATGTGGGACTTCTATTCTATTCCACAAGTACTAAACAGACATTTCAAATTAGGCTAATTTTTTATTAAAGTGGAGAGACAAAAAGCCTTGCCAAGATACCCACTGGATAAGAAACTTAATACAGTTTGGTTGTTAGAAAGGATTTACACTGAGAGGTTCTACTGATATATTAAATAAATCTGGCAGCCACTCTTTTTCTATGAAGATTGGATAAACATACCCTGCATATTTGGAGATTTGAATGTTTGTAGTGCCTGCTAAATTTATCAGAGTGTATGTAACAGATAAATATTGATATCTGTTGCTAAATGTACCTTGTCTGTCCTGCTTTGAAAAAAAAACAACAGAATTTTCTTGTGAAGGACATTCAGGGGTAAAAAAAAGAGAGATATAACAATAGAAAGATCTCTATATTTATCAGCATTGGCAACATGGCCTTAAGCGCAGTCACATCCTCTCCTGTCTGCGATCCTCTACCACACTGTTGTTCTCCTACTTCCTGCTTCTCACCTTCCCAGCAGCCCCAGAGCCTTTTCACAGCATGCTGTCAGCTGCCAACAGTAAGTGTTGATCACACAAACTAACAGCACTTGATACTGTCTGACAATTGGAGTAGTGAGAGGATTAAACCTAAAAACAGGATTTATACTGTGTACCATAGTCAAGTCAAATTAGATTACAAGTTGAGTGCCAAGTTAAAGAACCTGCAAAGACCTATATGCATCAGGATCAGCAAGTGAGCAGAGGACCATTCATTTCCTGTAGGTATTACCAGTGTAACTGCAAAATGGACCCACTGTAAAACAAATATAAGGTTTCATTACGAGTGCAGAATAAAACAACTCTGTGAACAACAGAGAGGAGTTGCATCCATTGTTGGAGTCCTCCACAATACAAGTTTAACCTACAGAAATCTCACATTAAACTAATCAGCAACAAAAAGCATTTTACATATTTTTGACATCAAGAAAACATGATGTGCAAGACAACCTGCTTTTCTTTGGTGGTTTCTTCTGATATGATGAAGTGTTTTGTGTAATATGTTTGATGAAGGAGTGTTAAAATTGATCTGCTGTGGCTGGAAGGTTTGAAGAGTCTCTCTTCATCTCCTAAATGAACAAAACACCAACAGCCAGCGGCAGGTTTAAGAGGCTTTTATTTTGGGGGGGGGGGGTTGTCACCAAATGGCAGCTCATCTTGCAGTGCCCATTGACGCACATTGACACATCTTTAATTGAAATGGCTCTCTGGTGTGCGCTCTGTGGTACACTGACGCACAGCATGGTGCCTTAGGAAAAGCTCCAGGGTTTTTAATGGAGAGTTATGGAAAAATGTGGATGATACTGAAATGAGGTACAAATTTGCCAGCAATAGTGACATTCCAACCTGTGCCTGATCAGTCATTACAGGAATGTTAATAAACGATGCTCATGAATTGATCAAAGATCTGCGCTCCTGTGAATGAAACCCTGAAGCCTTTTCTGGGAGACTGCAGGAGTACTATATGTGCACTGCATCTCTATCTGTTGGCAGCAGGATTTCATTTTTAATTATTTATTCACAGCCTATAGTGACAGACACCAAAGGACTCATACCAAGCTGTAATGAAACCACAGCGGCAGACACACACCTGAGCCGTTCAAACTCCACATCATCCACCAGGAAATCTCTGGTCTCGACCAGCTTGTGGATCTGCTGCAGTAGTTCTTCTTCTTTCTGCCGGTCCTCGTTGGACTTGTCATTATCTGCAGCACAAGACATCTGAGTAACTAGTGTTTGTTTTGGAAATATGATTATTAGTAGACTAGATTAGAGTAAGATGAGAAGATCAATATTACTCTCCCGACTCTTGCGCATAAAATATGACAGCTCGAGCCATGATTGGCGATTAAGCTTAGCCTACAATGAAGAACTGGACGCAGTGGGACTTTTTGGGTGGCTTTTTGGGGAAAACTGGGCCTGTCCGAAGTTTCAATTAGCACATAGAATCCTTCTAAAGCCAATGATGAACAAGGTTGTATCTTGTTTGTTTAACCTGTACATTAACTGAAATGTAAACGCGACATCACTGTCGGATTGATAAATTGTTGCTCCTGTTTTTTTACACTTCTGATTTTACATTTCTTGTTTCTATATGGATTAAACAAATAGAGATAGCCTATAACAAGTTAACAGGTGATACAAATGTGTGAGCTTTAGGGGTGCTGGTAGGTAGATCTTTTAAATTTAGAGATAGCCAGGCTAGTTGTTTCCCCTTTGTTTCCAGTCTTTATGCTAAGCTACGATAGCATAAAGCTAAGTGTGACCACCGGCTGGCTGTACCTTCATATCTAAGAGTGGCATCAATATTCTCAACTAATTGTTGACAATAAAGCAAATAGGCTTATTTCCAAAATGTAAATGTTGCCTGTTTTTATCCTCCATCCATCGACAACTATCAACATCCAGAAGACTCCTACCTGGAATGGACACTAATTTGTGCAGCTCCTTCTTCAGACGAGTGATCTCCTTGCACAGCTGAATGTCATCCATCCTGCACAGTCATGGTGGAATAAAAGACACAGGCACACACTTATTAGTATGGCACATCAGCTCACTTCATACTTTAAAGGGCACCAAGGAGTCCATACTTGACTCTACTGCATGGGAAACAAAGACAGCTTGATTTTGATCTTATGTTTCACACAGGAAATTATCTCTTCTGAGCAGAGAGCCTTGTGACATCTCTGATGGCTTTCACTTGGCTTCTGTCTGTATCATGCTCTCTCTTTCAATGGCCCTTCAAGTCAGTGGATCATTATTGACACTGAGGTGGGGAAGAGAACCCTCTGTGCCTTCCTCGTCTGACGGAGGACCTCACGTGACCCAGTATCACAGCAACTGGGTCTTTTTTAGAAACACGCACACAAACAGGCTCTCCTAAGGTCAGATGCAAAATCACCCACACATTACACACATTAATCAATGTCAGAAGACTGAGAGCCTCATCACCACGGTGCCTGTCATGTCAGATGCTCACCACAGATGTGTAGGTGGAGAAATGGCCATGAGGTCTGGAATACAAATAACACACTTTCCACAGCTTACTAGAAGAAAACACATCTTGGAGTTTTGTTTTGTTTGTGGACCGCTGGGGAAAAGGTGCTTTAAATCCTGACTTCCCATCACTGTCCTCTTCCCCTCCACCTCCTCCAGTCTCTCATTCTCCCACTTTATCTACTTTAGTCTTGCTTGCTACTCCACACACGCCACTCCTCACATTTCCCCCCCACTGTCTGAGCAGTGTAACTGCTTATCTTTCAGAGAAGCAGATGAATAAATATCCATGCATTACCCTGCTTAGCAGAGGCAAAGGTAGAGCCATTGAAATTTTAATGGGGGGCCAGCTTGGAGCGTGATGGAGAGAAATGAGGGGAGAGAATAGAAGGCAGTGCTGTGTACAAAGGTGTACTCTTGAATGGAAAAATGGATAGATGCATTTATGGCATTTATGGCCACTCTGTATTGTTTTTGTCTAGGATGGACATCAGTCTGTTGGTCCAACACTTTGGTCCAGAGTGAAATATGTTGACAGTTTTTGGATTAGATTTTGCTTGGTCCCCAAATAAAGCATCCGAATTACTTGATGATCCAATGACTTTTAATTCAGCACCACCAATAAACCAAACCATCCACTTGTCCAACTTACTCATTTTAAGCATGTTAACATGATAACATCAGCATGTACGCTATTATTTTGTCTCCAGTAATAATACTGGCAGCCATCACACATGTTGGTGTTGTTAAGCCACTCACATGTATCTGAGCTCTGACTCCCTCCTGACCAGGACGTCCCTGATCCTCTCAATCTTAAAAAGCTCCCCCTCAATGTCGTCCACGGTGATGGTGGAGTCCGCCATGGACACCACGTCCTCTTCTAAGGGAGAGAAAGAAAGAGAGGGGCAGCTTTTAGTCTTGCAGTTTTAAAAGAACATGTCTGGATGCAACATGTCTGACACAAAAACATTAAAGTGTATTTAGATTCTCTTCTATATTAAAGGGAGTTTACAATGCACTTCTTCAACTGACAAATACCTAACAGAGACAAGCAAACACATACACACTCAGGAGCTTTTTAAAATGATCCAATATGCCACTGCAGATTAATAACTGCATATGAATCTGGATTTTAAACTGTATAAACAGCTGCAGCAGATGTACTTTGAAATTGCTGCTTGTTGAGGAGCAGAACGTCATAGCTAAATTACCATGTGTCAGTGGTTGGCACGACTCACATGGCTGCTCTCTCTCTCTCTCTCCTCTCTCTCACACACAAACTGATGAATTGCATAAACCCAGGTTGGTGGGTCAGCCCAGGAAATTAGCTTCCCCCAGTATGTCTGTCAGACTCACACTGCAGTCCTACCCTGCCTTGTTCTGCTGTACAGAGATAAGTGACTTTTCAGTCATTCAGTGTCAGTCTTTAGACAAAATGTAATCCCCTGGTGTAATCACCACACAGTTTACACATAAATTGATTTTAACAAGCTCTAGGCTTTAACCAGAGCTGAAATGATTGGTCAAATAATCACTTAGTCAACAGTCAACAGATTTCATTTTTTGATAATTGATATGTTTTGTTCATTTAAAAAGCAAAAAAGACTCTGTCTGTGGTTCCAGTGTGTCTCTGTTTTATATCCTTGTAAACTGAATATCTTCTTTTGGTCTATTTGGTTGGACAAAACAAGACACTTTGGGTTCTGGGAAACTACGATTCACACAACATTTTTCACTATTTTCTGACAATTTACAGACTAAACAATCTAACGATTAATAAAAAAAAAAAAACAGCCCTACCTAAGAAGGATTACTGATAAGTAGGCGAATTGATATAATCAGTGGCAAACCTAAACACAGAGGTAGTTTATTGTCACATCAAGATTCACCTTGCTTGGATATTGAAGGATATCTGTGATTACTTTTACAGGTCATTCTGTATTCAACAATGCAGTTTGTAGTCCAACCACGGTACCACATTAAATTAACATCTGAGAAAACTGAATGTTCCACATGAGCAACAATCTAGTTATGTTCTTTCTAAGGCAAAGAGGAATATGAATCTGAGCCACAGAGTGAAATCAAGGTAGAAAAAAGTCTATTTTATCAGCGTACAATGTCATATGACAATTAAAGGCGTTAGTCACTCGTAACAGTTACAGTGTTATTATTGTGTATATCTCAACCACCATTTACAACAATATGTAGGCTTTCTCCAAACAGCTCTGTAATATTACAAGTAATTTTAATGGCTCTGTCCCAGGGTCCCTGGAAATGCTTGTGTGGTATGAAAGGACATCAAAGCATTTCACACAATGTAGCTACTACACCATGAGCAGCTGCAGCTTCATGAGAATATGAGAAATGCAGCAGCATATCAAACATTTAACTACAACCACATTCTAAAAGTCCAATGGTTTTAGCCATTCATGTTAGAATACAAACACTAGATTTAAGTTACCCTGAGATTCAAGTATGGTTGACTTTCTTGAAGGTAGATGGTCAAAGACCTGCAGTGACATCTGAAGGGAATCACCACTGTCTGCACTCGAATTGTTCCATTTAGCAGTCCTGGATAACTGTCACTTCCCCGCAGAGAGCTGCACAACATGGGAGCTCAGACGGACACAACCAGGGAGATACCGCCACTGACAGACTGTTTCTGATTCCTCCTGGGGCCCTTAAATACTCTATATATACACACACCATTACTTAGCTATAGCCTTGGGGAAGGTAAGAGCTGACTGGGTTCAAAGTGCTCTGAAGACACGTTTTCTCCACTAGCATAAAAAGAGGCGGAATAGGATATCTTTATAATTCAAACTGGGATTGTATGACTTCAGGGTTGTAGTAAAAGCACCATGGGAAGCATTAGCCATGCTGGGTGATAATTGCTGGCTTACATGGACTTACATCCCTGCTGGCATTAAAGCTTTGTTTGCAGGCCTGCAACTGCAGTCTGCTTTATGTGGCAGACAAAAAAGGGATCCTGAAGTACAGACAGACATCTTCACACAGACATTCCGTACTCTGCACTGGCTGACGTCAGTGTACCATCAACACAACCTTGACATCTTAGAGGAGAAAGCTGTTGCAGTGACTATTAAACTGTTAATGAGATTAAAAGTATAAAAAGACATAACATACATGGAAATATCTACACCTTCTGATATGTTACTTTTGAAGTTCATTTAAATGCATTGCATAGAGGGATACTAAGATCAAATACGGTTTCTCACTCAAATGTAAGAATTCTGTGACTAAATAAATAATTTTTAAATAAATAAGCAATCTGTGGTTTATTTATAAGCAAATGTAAGGTAGGTAATGTGCCTGTTCACTGTATGGCCTATGAGAAGATCAAAATCTCATGTCTAAGCTAGATCCAGAAGACAATTTTGGGTTGCTTTTAAAAAAAAACAAAATTAAGATGACACCTTTTTTTCATGCCATGTGAGTCATAAATTCAAAATGTTTACACTATTGGTGCTGTTTTTTCTATAGCATATAAAGAAATAACAAAACAACTAACCTAATTTAACTAACTAATTTGATCTCAACCAAATTTTTTAAAAAGTTTTATTTCCCTAAACTCAACCCTTACTTGATCCTTAACAAAAGATAAGTTGCTCACTGAAATCAAACTGCTGAACTGATTTTTTCTGCAGCATACACACTTACTTGTCGAAAGCAGGTTTAACAGCTAACTATAACTCCCATTGAGGGGAGCCATTGTTAATGCTATTAGTTTCACCTGTGCTTTTCTGCTGTGCCCAGTCAGTAAGAAGCAAATGTCTACTGTGAATAAAAGGTCTCTTCAGTATTCTAACAAAGTCATGATAAAGGAACGCATGCTTGTCATAATACATGTCCAAAATGGAAAATGTGTCTCACAATTCATGCTGTTTTAAAAGAAAATGTCTACGAGAGCATGGTAAGCCAATGCACAAGAGTGTGCACATTTGACAAAAAGATTTACAGTTGTAGCTAGCATTGTCTGTGTGTATGTATGTGTGTTGTGTGTGTGTGTGTGTGTGTGTGTGTGTGTACCTGAGCGTGAGAAACTGAGAGCGAAAGAAAGAAGACTCTTTGTATTCTAATCTCAAGTTGCACATCGTATTCACACTGCATACTCATTACATTGCAGGTGTAAAGACGCTAAATGAGACTTTACCAGCAGTGACACCTAGTTCACAAAGCAGATGAAACGTTGGGCTTACAAGTACAAACAGAACCCATTGACCGAACATCGCATACATACTACCACCCTACAGGGCCACATTATTGTTCATATCCCTGCCAAAAACTCAAGGTTTACTGACTATGACCGTGAAGCTGGCTGAAACACCATACTGTGGTCTGGGTTCGGGTTTGTTTTGATGAAGAAAACGTACAACATGATGTCATGAGCATTAGTATATTCTTACATGGTTAGAAACAACATGTTCTGCTGCAGAGGCTCTCAAGGACAGGTTATTCTGCCACTGAGCAGTTATGACTCATCACTAGACCCCTCTGAAATGTTCCCTCCTTTACACTTTCTCCCCTTTCTCACTCTCTCACAGTTTAGCGTTTCCCATCTCCCTCTACTTTTCCTCATTTCACCCCATACTCCCCCAGATCGTCCCCTCTCTTTATCCTAACCCCTAAAGATATGAATTGCATCATGAGCTTGGTCTTTGCTCTGACTCAATCCCTCTCTTTTTACACTGCCACAATATGCTTTATGCCTAATGAGGTAGAACAGCACGCTGACAGACAGATCAGACAGATTAGAGACCAAAAGGCAGAAGTGGAGGGAACAGGAGGAGGGTGTGAGATGAATAAAGGAAGAGTAAAATTAGAGAAAAACAGATAGTCTTAAGAGACCTGCACAGCTTTCTAAACTTCCCACTTGACTGATCACATCAATACACTCAATAGCTGGTGCGTCAGTACGACAGAAACACCTTGACAACATGATGCTATTATGAGCATAATTTGCACCATTATAATTTGTTAAAAAAATCAATGTCCATCAGCAATGTAGAGGAATAGAGCTGAAATGAAAACTATTTTGATAACTGATTAATTGTTTCACGCATTTGTTTTTGTAAAAATGTAACAAAATATCTTGCTGCAGTTTCTTCAATTTGAGGATTTACTGCTTTTCTCTTATTTATATAATTGTAAACAATTTTTTAGGGTTTTGGACTGCTGGTTGGACAAAAAAGGACATCTGAGGACATATTAAGAAAATTGTGATGGACATTGTTCTCTATTTTCTTTTCTTATAGATCAAACGATTCATAGAGAAAATTAAGCTGCATAAATAATGAAAATAATTGTTTGTTGTAGGCTTTCAAGTATCATTATCAGAGTAAGGAGCACAGTGTAATGAAGAGTTTCAGTTACTTCTGACCCAAGAGTCTATTGGCTGGAGACTGAGATGTGGCCAGTGTCCTGCCAAGTCCCAGATGTGAGTCATTATTCATCTTTGCGGCGGAAACGAGTAATGGGGCCTCATTTTCTCTTACACAGTACAGAACCCAGAACAGCAGACACACACACACACACATTAGAAGAACAGACACCTGTGGATTCTTGACATTTTCAGAGCTGTTGCCTGTGCTGCAACTAGAAAAATGTATTGATTGGTTTATATCAACTATATAACAAGACCCTGATATAAAAGTAAAAGGCCAGAAAACAAACTGTAGTAATTCTGTTATATATTGTAGTGGGACAAGACAGAAAACAAACCTATGATGCCTAACAGGAACACTGTAGTGATGCCATAGATTATATTATAAAATATATGTAGAAACAGATTAAGATCACGGTAAATTCACTACACCAAGACAAAGACCAAAACCAAGTAAGTCCCTGCAATCATGTTATGGTAATAAGATTAAGTACAGTGACACGTTAGGTGAATTAAATGTTATTTCTCTTTAAACTCAGTCAATAGATCGACATGTAATAATACTGCAGTAACCTGGTTCGTTGGTGTCTCTGGTCCTTTCTGTGCGCTCCAGTGAACCGTACTGATGAGGAGATCCTTGCTTCTTCTCCATCTGTCCAGCAGCTGCTCCTCTCTTCTCTTCTTCCCTGCGCTTCCAGTTGCAGACAGTAGCTGGGAAACAACTACAGGGGAGGGTCTTGCAGTCCGCTGCCGTATTTCATTGAGTCATCGCCAGTCAGTAACCAACCTGTAGAGGCAAAGAGAGAGAGCGAGATGCTCTGGCGGTCCCCACCTGCTCTAGCAAGAGCCGGTGTGTGTGCAGCGCTCAAGAGTCTCAGCGCCGCTCAGGCTGGTGATTCAACAGCGCCATCTGGCTGCCACTAGACGCACCTACAGCATGGGCGCGTTCACTCCACGGCGCGTTAAGGCAAACCTACACAAAAAACCACTTCCTCTTTCAAAACAGCTCAGAAGACGTAGTTTTATTCAGAAAAAAAATGCAGAGATTCAAACTGATATTTACCACGTTTATAATAAAACGCAACCACTGCTTTTACCAAACAAAATCATTTATTTACAGAATTGCATTTTGCTTTTAATGGCATCGTCTTTATATAACACGAGATGAAAGTAATGTGCAAACTTTATCATGAATTTCAAAACTCATGATTTTACCCTGCCAGCCACACACACACGCGCGCCATGTTATGCTGTGTATCCAGTAACACATAACTTCCAGTTCCTGAGGCTGTTGTGCTTAACTGCCATACATACCTGTGGGAGTGCATCAGAAATAAGATCTTGAGCTATTCTTGAGTGTGTAGTCTAATAATATGTATATTATAAATGTATTATATATATGTACACATTCATATAACTTGTAAAGTGATGACATAATTACACATGTAGTCATAAGTCATATTCATGCTTTACAAACACTGTTGCTCCACTCCCACAGGGATTTTATTTTATTTTTTAAATCCAGCAGTTTTAGTGCAAATAGATGCAGTTTATCTATTCTAACTGAAACAAACAACAGCTTCAGAGGGGATTTTCACACCTCAAGGCTGACAGACCTGAACATGTGCAGGTTTCACTTTTGAGTGTCCCCAAGTTTAGCTCTTTTTCTTGATCAGTATATTATCAAGCATACAACACACAATCTTGCACGTCTAGTAAATAGACAATGGCACCAAGGACAAAGTCAGCGGTCTGAAGCTATAGTTGATTTATATGTAGCTTGGTCTGTGCATGTGTACGTCTAATACAGTAAAACACAAAGGTTTCTTCTGTTCTGTAGTAATTCCTGACCTTGAATGTGGCTCTAGCCTCTGCACTAAACATAGTGTCGTTCAAGAAACTTTCCACAATGTTTTTTAAACAGTACACCCAAGGCTTACATCTATTGCTTGCACATTCAACAGATTCAATTATGAAACAGGTACGGGAATAACAAGTTATTTGAAATTTTCAGCTAAAACAAAGGTGACAGTAAACTCCAGCTGTCATCGTACCAGTCTTTTAACAATCTGCACGTTCCAATAACTGACTGGCAAGGTGAGTCAGTATGTCTGCATTTTTGTGTGTGTACTGTGTGTGTGTGTGTGTGCATGCATCAAGGAGGCAGTAAAAAGGTAGTGTGTCTATGAAGTACAATAACTGTTACAGACAGTCAACCCTTCATATCAGATTTTCCAGATTGCCTGTTAAGTTCTTATGATTAGTGATCCAAATGTCAGTAATCTTTAACGTATATTTAAAGGTATATTCCTTTGCTTACTTGTTCTTCCCTGCCAGTCACTCCAGTGTCACAGGCAACATTGTTCTTTGGCATTATTCCAATCTAGTTATATTTACTGACATTCACTCATGAAAAGTGAAACATTGTTAGGAGTCCAACCACACCCTACATCGTAATAACATTTTGTCCCTGTTACTGTAATAGAAGCCGTCTGGTTACTCCACTGACTGCAAGAAGTCACACTTGCACTGCATGTGTTGCAACTGGCATCAAGTTGCCTTTGATTTGAAGTCTTTTTCATACATGGCAGTCAGTCATGACCAACAGAACTGAAACAACGTGGTTTCAGGAGCAGCTCAGTATGACTCAAAGGTGATTCCTTTTATATTTTCTTATGTCAGACAGGACTTCTGTTTTCTAAGAAGCAACAACTCTTCCCCGCCATCAAAACCTCATCGTGGATGGTCTTAATATTCTTACTCCATCACATCAGGTGATGATGCCAGCAAATGTGTTGATGGGTAGAGGAAGTCCTTTGTTCATGTATTTGCTCAGTCCAGCCTCTTTGTCCTCTCCCAACTTGAATTTGGAGCTTATGTTTTTCTGGACGCAGTATCCGGGATCAAGACATGGGGAGATCTCGATGCTATAACACAAAGATGTTGAAAGTAGAGCCATCAGTTTGGGTTGCACAGAAACTGGGTCCAGATTGGTCAAGAATGTGTTAAAAGAACACGTTTTCAGATTTTCATTTCTTATGAGCTATTTGTTCAGAATTTTCAGACTTATTCTGTTAAAAAAAAAAAAAAATCTAATTGAGAAAATTATGCAAATCAAGCTGTGGGACAAACTAGATCTCAACAGAGCAATTTCAAATATCCAAAAATGGCCTTAATTAATCGGAGATCCCTTTGATCTGCTAGAGCTTTGATTGCAATGATGGCAATCTATAATAATTTTTCTAACCAATGAAACACCAAACCCTGATATGACCTTAATGCAGTGGTGTAACAGTACAGCAGAGTCTAGACTCTCTTACCTCTGCACATCTCTGTAGGTCCTGCGACAATCTCTGTCTAGTGTAACAGTGAAAGATCGACTCTCCAAAGTGCGAATCTTAATGTTGCTGGTCCGTATCTTTGACTCCTGGAAATTTCAAAATAAAAGAATAAAAGCATTTATTGTTGAATAAACCACTCTTCGTAAAGATAATTCACTACAGATATTTAAGAACTCAAGGAGACATATTGCCAAGACTCACCATAACGTTGTTTTTAGTTTTTGTTGGAGATTCATTTAATGTCAGTGTCAAACAGTTCAGATCTATGACACAAAGGCAGAAAAAAAATGAAGCTCTAGAGTAATACAAAACTATGAAATATAAAAAAAAAACATACAGAGGAACATTTGACTGTAAGTATGAAATATTGAGAGTGTTATAGTACTAAACCTTCTGCTTCAGTGGAGGGAATAGCGTTGATCTGAGCGCCTGACGTCCTGACTGAGATTCCCTTGTCAATGTCTCGGCCACTTAATGTCACCTGGACACACGCAAACAAAACACGTAAGTGTCAGATGTTATGCATTCACACTAAGGCATCCCACACACAAACAACACAATCTAAAATTGAACGTTCTGAGCAATTTTTCTGGTCATTGTAATTGGCATTTAGCTACGGCGATACACCCACGACAGTAATCTAATAAGGAAACAACAAATCTTTAAAAACAACTTACCTTTCTGTAATTCATCGAGACAACAGCTCCGCATACCTCCCCTGAGCTCTTCTTCTGTTTATCTGTTTGAGGAACAGGCATGTTGTTAAACTTGGTTGTGCACCCACACACATACAAAGCTGTGCAGATAAAAACACAAATATCGAAGAAAACACTGGAAACATAATGCACTTGTATACCCAATTCACCTCTAATTGACGCTGAGATCTGTCTGAACTCAGGGAACTCCATTTCTAGATGGGTAAGAAACACATCTTCCACAGGCTCCTTTGTCAGGCTGGTGAATGTGAGCTAATGGAAACAAACAACATTTCTGAATATTTTAGCTTTAAAACATTTAGGTGTAAAGCTGTTCAGCTCAATAGATGCTTCAGATTGAAGAGCTCACTGCGTTTTTAACGCTCAGAAACAAAGATCTACTCATATAATGTATCACACTACCTTAACGAAGTAAATGGTGAAGTAGACGGGTTGCTGGCCGGTGCGAACGTAGTAGGAAACGACATCAGACACAAAGGGGTCTTTTGGCCTTCCTAGGTTGGCCTTTTGCTAGAGAAGAAGAAGAAGAGAAAAGGCATGAGAAACCCTCCTACTTGCATGATGTTATAACCACAAACTCACTTTGGGTTAATATAATGAGTCACTAAAATGTCAACTGCTTCATTTACATTCAGCTGCAACAGTGGTTGGTAATGTTCACTCAGAGTCATTTTAGTAAGAGAGGTTATTCTGCCACAAGTTTAAAGTGACAAGGTGCAAAAAATGCATTTTTTTCCAGTAACTAAAAGCTCTGGAAGAAAGAGGAAGATGCAGGATTTTGAGAAAAATACTATGCATTACAAATCTCATTTAATCTAGTTTTCAAGGGAAATGAAGGAATTGAAGGAATTAAAATATTTTCTAGAACAAAACAAGCTTTTTCCATAATTCTCATAAAGACAAGTCACCTCGATCAATGAATCTTCTCTTTAACTGTTCATTTACATTCAACTTTATTTATTTTCTAGATGTTCCTTCGCATTCCACTTTCATGCTAGTTCTACTTTCTGTTTAAGGCTTAAACTCACTACTGTAGCTCTGTACTGTAGCTGTGGTTTCAGCGAAATCAACATTTATTTTCTTCGCAGTAAAAGATGTTGTGCAACTTCCTGTGTTTCAACCTATGCTGAGAACAGTCGCCACGTTGACTGAATGGGATGCGGTAATGTGATGACATTTTCAACAACAGTGAAAGAGAAGCAAGTGTCCATGAGTCAAACAAACACAGGCAAAAACTGTATCTAACATAGTCCCGCTGTGAAATAAATGCGCTTTCCTTCAGATTGTTTTAATTGTATCGTACCATCTCAGCCAGTTTGGGGAGCATGCAGCCTAAACTTCTGATGTTAGAGTTGTACCATGGGTCCACCATGCTCAAGTAGGAACCAAGAGCGCAGGGATTCCCCTTGGCCTGATGGAAGTTTTCCTAGAAAAAAGGAACATGTAAGCGGAACCAAAAATACATAAAATTTGGCAAATCAGCAGCAGTGAGGAAAAATGACAAGTATGAACTTTTTGTTTCTTCTAGCTACTGCATGCTTTTAGTTCAAACACCAGAAGAAGACTATTGCTCCCTTGTTTTTTATGCAGGGAGATGTACATGTTCAGGGCAAACCATAGCTCATCTGAGGCACACCTTGTGTGTCAGCAGCGAGGAGTGCCTCTGTCCTTTGTGCATATGCGTTTGAGGGAGGATAGCAAGTAATAAAAGAGATGATGTGTTGCTGAATGTGAATTCTACTGCGTTTTTTAAGTTTCACATTTGTGAGGGCAAACAGGGGCAAGTCAGGACAATTAAAAATAAAGTGCATGTTGGAGAAAAGACACTTGAAATAACATTTAGTTTCAAGTAACGTCAGACAAGAACAATACAAATAAAAACTAAAAACAGATTTGATAGAAATACAAAGTGATCGATTATTACAAATTATAGCTTTGGAGTTTCACACAATACCAGGCCAGTGGTGTGTTGATAAGAGGAAGTTGGCTTACCTTGACAGGGGAGATGGGAGTTGTAGCCCTGCAAACAGGGATGTAGTAAAACTGGAGGTTGACTTTCATTGTAAGAAAAAGCCTCCGTGCTTCCCTTTTCCTGCAAAGACGAACCAAAGATCCGTGAGAAACACAAAGGGAGTTGCACGCTGGACTGAGCAGTTTGACAATCCCAGCAAAAAGTTTAGGCTCTTAACATGACATTTGCAATAGAAGAAGTAGTGACTTTATAGTTCTCCAGTTCAGCTGAAATAATGTAGTTGTATTGTTGTTGCTTAATGAGTGTTACAGTATATGTGAACTAGGTGTGAACATGCTGAATCTAGCCTCCTATTTCTGTGAGAAAGATAATCAACACCATCAAAAATATTATTTTTCATTTCTAATATACAGTTTTTTTATGTGTATATTCACTTTCTTTCAACTCTGTATTGTTTACAACAATTTCCATGGAAATTATTTGTCCTCATTATTATGCAAAATAATTCTCTCATATCATCTATTTAAGATTTCCATTACCATTATTTTACTGCTTATTGTACTGTGATATAGAGCTATTGTGTTAATGAGGAAGACCAACATACATGATAACATGCAACTACTACAGTACAATGTAATAAAGGGATATAAATCGAAACAGCTGACAGGTATATATCCTATCAGCTCATACATACAAATCATGTGACATAATGTGTGTCTCACCTGAAGAAGTAGTAGGTCTTGGCCAGGCGGCCCAGTACCCTGTCATCCCCCATGGCGACTATCCTGGCAGTAAAGTGTCTCTGCTGCTTGGGGAAGGGGTTCTGCATTGCGCTGCTTCCGGCCCGCCTCTGCAGAGTTGCCCCTCTTCTTCCTCCCCTCCCTCCATTCCCTCCTGCTCCCGCGAGGCTTGCGTGGTCCTCCAGGGTGTCCTGCATCAGCACCATATTCACAGAGGGTTTCACCTTTATGCATCCACGCCGTAACAGCTTCGATGGATCCGGCTCACTAGGAGAAGGAAAAGGTTTACTGTCATACTCGTCCTAATAATTTAAAAATGAGATTAGGCTTGGAAACCAAAAAAAGTGATGCAAAAGATCTCGTCATCAGTGTCACCGATGTTCAGCAAACAACGCTCTTGTGTAAGAGTTTCCTTGAAAGAAAATCTAGTGACCTACAGTAAATGTTCTTGGTGATTACTACATATCACCAACATAGCAACATATTTTATTTCAAGTGAATTCTTACCGCCTTTCAAGATAATTTACATGGAAACCAATGGCTCTAAAATTCTAACTTAAGGTATGCTTTGGAAAA